TTTGATTTTTGTACTTGATTTATATGTTGATCCCACATTTCTCCTATTATTATTATTGTTTTTATTTTTAATAAAATGCTGAAGTGGTAGGTAGATGCAAGATAAAGGTAGAAAACATAGTTTAGTGCTGTAAGAAGGCAAATGTAGATGATCAGATGATCAGGTGTGTGCCTATGGACTAAGTATTAATCCAGGCTAGACAAGGGCAGCAAGACATCCACGGATGCAGAAGATTTCTCTCAAAGCAGGGGGGGTGAGGTTCTGAGCCTCACCTCTGTTGATCCCCAAATTCTCACCTGATGGCCCCCCTGCGACTGTGCCTGTCTTAGGTTGTTCCTCCCTTGAGGAATCTTACCCGTCTCTGGCTAACCAGTCATCTTCCGGGGCCATACAGGGAAATGTAAAGTTGGTAAGTGAGAGAGAAGCCATATTGTAAAAACCTCTTTTTAAAGTACCAAAGTAATTCATGATTTTATACAACATGTAGATAAGCAAAAGAAAAGAAAAATTCATCTTTAATCCTACTTCTAAGCAGTCTTGACTATTTTGTTGTTAAATTCTTGACAATGCCCATGACTATTCCTTGGAGGTAAATTAGAATTAACTCCAAGATGGGAACTGCAAATTTAAAGAAAATTTCCATTTTAAGACCTTTCAGTAATGTTAAACACAGACCGTATTTACCTTTGGAAGTCTGACTGTGCAGTAGGCTGTCCGGGTTTCCATCGCTATCCATCATCACTAACTCTGTGCCCCTGGCATGTTAGTTTTCTAAACTTTGGCTTCCTTATTGGCCCATGGGGAACCCCAGCTAGGGCCAGGCAATCAAGGGGCATCCTTTTGGGAGGTAGCTGCAAAGACTGGCAGTAAAAACCACGGCAGCAGGCGCTCGTAAAAGCACCTCTCCAGGTGGAGGCGGAGGAGGGGCAGAGATGGCGCGCCCAGCAGCCTCCGTCCTCAGACAGCACCCAGCAAGGCCTCACACGAGTGTCAAATGCGATGCCTGCCGCTCAGGCTGAGCCTCCAAAGCAAGTAAATGAGCCTCTCCCCACAGCCCCTGTTGTTTTTCAGAGGTAGATGCCCTGGGGGCTCATCTCTCAGGTGAAGGTTTTAAAAGTGGCGGGTGCCTGCCTGGCGCGGGGTTGAAACCTTTCGGCCGTCGGGAGGCCCTGGGGTGGCGCTCCTGGCGGGCCGAGGTCGCGGCGGAGGGGCGGGGTCTCCGGCGGCGTGCGCCTCAGCCTCTCCCGCCGCCCCCTCGAGGACTTCCTCTCCCTGGCCGCGGTGCGCTGGGGTCAGACGGTTAGCTTTCCTCAGAGGAAATCGTTCCATGTGTAGCTGACGGTTCCGTGTGTCAGTGGGAGGACGTGACTGAGGATCTGAGGTCGCTGTCTGAACTCGATTTTCAAAATGTAAGTACTTAGTGATATGTTTTTAAGCAAAGTCCCAAGTAAAGCAATATTTCAGCCTGCCTATTGAGCAGGAGTATTAGAATACTTTAACTTCTTTCAAATATTCCTTCCATTGCCTGTCTTTGAGCAGCTTTTTCATCTTCTGTGCTATCATTATTTCGTACTTTAATTCCATTTTATTTTTTAATGCAAAAAAGTTACTTATTTAAGAAAATACCCTTTTTAGAGTAGGTTTAGGTTCACAGCAAAATTCGGAAAGTAGTGTTCCCAAATACGCCTTGCTCCCATCCTTATTATTTTATAGTCAATTTTTACTTGAATTTACCAGCATATGTCCCCTTTGGTTTCCCATGAGTCCCCTACCTTCCTTCTGGATTTATTTTCACTTGTGTGACGTGAACCTCAATTATAATTTCTAGAAATGCAAAATAAACGTAATTATAGTTTTCAGGTGTAAAAGCTTCTACTTTTTTGGGTCTGTGGACTGATCTAGTCACTAGAATTCCCATTTTTTTCTATATTTTTTTCTGAGTGGGCTCATCTTCATGGGCATTGTTTCTTCTTTTTTTTTATTGAAGTATCATTGATATACAATCATACTGGTTTCAAATGTGCAACACAGTGGTTCAGCAGTTATCCACATTATTAAATCCTCACCTCCTTTAGTATGGTTACTATGTATCAACACAGAAAGATGTTATAGGGTCATTCAGTGTATTCTCCATGCAGTACTACCGCCCTGATGACCGACTTATTTTGTGATTGCTCATGATTGTGCGTGGGCATTGTTTCTTTTCAGAGTCCTGTACATGCCTGGGATGGGAGGCCTTTCAGGGGATGGTTGTTTGCCTCTGTCCAAATTCAATAGTGTGCATGAGTTCCAAACCAGTTTTTGTTTCAAATGATTATAGACTTACAGAAGAGTTGTGAAGATAGTACAGAAAGTCTTCACAGTACAGAAGTTTCCAGCTTCTCCTATCACTGAAGCCCTTAGCTAGCTTACATTTGGCCTTTAGCAATTTGTAAAAAAAATCTCTAGCCAAATTCTTTGTAAAAGCCTGTATGGGACAATGTCTGTCCCAGCTAAGCAAAGGCCTAGGTCCTGTTTCTTCCGGTGGATGCCTGCCTTTCCTCAGATTTTGGGTTAGTTGTTGGCTCTGTGACCTCAGCTTTCTGATGGCGTCATAAAAAAGTTGTTAATTTTCAGTTTGTCTACCTTGATCCTTGTGTAAGTGTGGGAGTGATGCTTTCTATCTTTATATTTCCAGGTGAAACCAATTTTTGGGTTAGTTTCTTCTTCCAGATTTTTGCACTGCTTAGGTGCTACAAATCTGGAATTTGCCCTGGTAGCCAGCACAGCTGGGATGGGTGGTTCTCTGTTGGTTGCAATCCTAGGTTCATAAGCAGAGATTCTTCTGTCTCTATTTATGGACAGGTAGGTGGGTTTTGTTTATTTATATTCTCCTGATTGGTTCTACCTTTGTAGAAAATTGTGGTTACCAATGACTCCATGGGGATTCTCCTGAAGATAGAAATGACTTAAAAAAATACCTTTTCTTTATTTAGTGTTATCTATTTTATAAATTACACTGACTGCCTATTCATTGAGGCACTTACCTTATAATCTGTTATACATGTGATTTTCATCTGTTCTACTTCCTATTTTTTTGTGTATTAAATTGAAAGCACTTTGAAGAAAGAATACATGATTTCTACTTTGGTCTATTATGTTAGTGCTGAGTATATTCCTTCATTCAGCAAGTATTTTCTGATTTCCTGTGGGGTGCCAGGAACTATGCTAGGAGTGGACATACAGTCAGAGTGAGCATCAGGGTTACCCACTCTTTAGTATTGTTGGGAGTCAGATATTAAACACAATAAACATATAATGACCAACTCTGATAAAAAAATACGGTGCTCTAAGGCCTAATTTATTCTTGGGTGCTCAGAAAGACTTCTCTGAGAGAGTGACTTTTAAATTGAGAGATTTGATGGCTGAAAAAGAGTTAGGTGAAGAGTGAGAGGGAACAGCATCACATACACAGACCAGCACATACTAAAATCTTCTGGTGGTAAAGAGCGTGGGGCAGTCACAGCACTGAGTGAAGGCTGTTGAGGTTGGAATATGGTGAGTGAGGTAGAGAGTGGCATGAAGTGAGCCTAGAGGAGAGGTTAGAGGCCAGAACATACAAAGAGGACAGAACAAATCCTTGGAGGATTTGATATTTCATCTTAGTCTTGGCAAGAGTTTTGATCTAGTTTGCATTTAAAACATTTCTCTGGATGCTGGGTGGACGACTGATTATAAGGGAGAAAGAATGGGAATAAGCAGGTAGACAGGGTAGTGCAGGCAAGAGATGACAGTGACCTAGAAGAGGGTAATACCAGTGGGTTTGAGGGAAGAGGAGGGACTCAAGGTGCAGTCTGCAGTTCAAAATGGCAAGACTTGATATTTGGGGAAAGGGTGCTGGGGAGGAAGAGGAAGGTAGCAACATCCTTTCTGGTTGATTTATTTGCTTCCTCTGCCCACGTAAATAAGAGAGGAAATACAGGTCTGTCTGTATTTCCTCTGTGGTTTTTGCTGAGCAAACAATTGCTCTAAGCCTGATTTGATTCACCGGCAGTAGTCCCTTCTACAGTCTGTTTTCATCTGCTGGGATTTTCCTTCCCAACTGGATTGTTAGCTGTGCAACAGAAAGGACTGTGTTGCTTTAATCTCCTGGCTTGTATAGCCTCAGCATAGTCCTTTGGTCATAGCAGATACTGAAAATCATTTTTAAAATGCATTTCTTTTGAGCACTTTATAAACAACGCGTTTTTTTCTTCAGCTGGACAAAAAGATTTAATTTTCCTTTAGATTTTACCAAATCCTTTACATTTTTAGCCCATTGGTTAACTACAGTGCATTTGGCATACTGATTATAAATTCAACTTAATTTTTCCTTTGCTGTTTGATTTTTAGTCTACAGCAGAATTGAGTTGCTGGACCAGCAAAAAATATCAAACCTGGTATTCATATCTGTGAGGCGAAAGCTGCCAACAAGCACATTGAAGTATTTTGCACATATGTTTTTCTCTTTTGCCTCTGTGGTAAGCCATTTTCCTAGCTGTGTTTTGGATTTTTCCCATTCCAGTTTTGAGATTTCCACATGGAGTTTAGCTGCTCAGTGACGTGTTTTCAGATTCCCTGCTCACCATCAGGTTTGGCTTCAGCTGCGAGATCTTTCTCTTTTGTGGCCTGGGTTTACTGCCCCACTTGCTGGCTTCTTTGCCTGTATTCTTTTCCAGTATTTCATGGTTGTAATGTATGGGCTTTCCTTTCAACAGTTCTCTGTCCTCGGGGAAGCACTCCATATTGTCTGTTCCCTGGTTTTTGATTTTGACTCTGTTGCAACCCAGCTGGGACTTTTGCAGCTTGAGTCACAGGGCCCTGGAGCAAGGGCCAGTTTTCTTTAGTTTTGCCTGTTTCTGATCTCCCTCTGTCCTGTTTTAGACATAATTTTTAATTCAGCAGAATTTTTCTCATTATTCTGTTTCTCAGTGCTGATTCCAGTATGTCTCTAAAATAAAGCCAATTTTGTCAATTTCTTTTTTTTTTTTTTTCCTATTTGGCAATGTCGGGATTGCCACTGTTCTTGACAGCTGCTATCCAGTATGTCATTACTCAGCTTTGGAAGTAATGTTGTGCACTCCTGGCTATGGAACACTGTGTCACCAAGGTCCCGAGGGTGGTACACCTGAATGTGAGGATGACCTGATGAAGAACTTGTGACATTTGTACAATGCCTTACGGTAACTGGGGCTCTTTATATGTGTGATCTTGCTTAGTGCCCACAGTAAGTCCAGGAGGACTTCCTTGTTTTAAAGTCAAGGAACTTGAACATCATAAAGTTAAGTGTTTTCCTAAAGTTGTCCAGCTAGAAGGTGATGGAACCAGAATCTGAACTTATGTCTGACCAGTGCTCTTTATGCTATAGGATCTTGTATTTTCAATTTCATTTAAATTTCAGGCTGGGGAGGAGAGGGATTAATGATGGCAGCATGAGAGGAGAGACAGAGGCTTCCTCCTAAAACTGGATACAATTAGAAAATTTAATTGGTGCAACTAATCCTGAGAGAGCGACAGGAAAGAGGACGGCATCAGACTGCACACACCAGGAGAAAAGAGCAGATCTCAGAGAATGGTGTAAGGTACTAGAGCTGTGGCTCCGGGCCCCGAGCCCCTCCCCCAACCCAGCTCACCGGTGGGAGGAAGACAAACAGAGCAGTGAGGGAGTGGAAGGCTTGGGACTTCTGAATACCTAGCTCCGGAGATATGCTCTGGGAGCACGAACCTACATTTCATGGTGCTTTCATGAGACTTGCATGACTACTGGGTTGGAAAGTTAATACAGGCAGAGTTCCTGGGAAGACTGGGATTCCGGCTGCTTGTGGAAAGCAGGGATCCATATCTGGCTGCTCTGGGACAAAAACATACCTGTGTGACCGGCCCACTGGCTCAGGCAGTGGAGACAGGCACAGTAGTCAGGAGGCGGGGAACAGCTCTTTCCTACCCTCAGGCACCAGAACTGCTCCCCTGCAATCCCCGACGTTGCTTCAGGGACTGAGCAGCTCCAGAATAGAGCTTCTGAACACTAGAGGGTGCCATATACAAACATGAAACGCCAAATGAACCTTGTCCAGAGTAAAATTGTTAATACAACTCCCGAGAAAGATTTAAATGATATGGACCTCATGACTCTTCCTGAAAGGGAGTTCAAAATAAAAATCATCAATGTCCTAATGGAGGTATGGAAAGACATCCAAGAACTCAGGAATGAATTCAGGTCAGAGATCCAATTGTTAAAGAACATGATGGAAGGTATTAAAAGCAGGTTGGATACGGTGGAGGAGACAATAAATGAAATAGAAACTAGAGAAGAGGAATACAAAGAAGCTGAGGCACAGAGAGAAAAAAGGATCTCTAAAAATGAAAGAATATTGAGAGAACTGTGTGACCA